ATGTAAGATGTTACTCCTGCTGCTACCAACGTTATATGCTAGCTAATTTTAAAATGAAGTTCCAGACTTTAGTTTGGGGAGTACTTGGTGCTCTCTGAACTTAGTTGTTTTCTTGCAGACATTTAATTACCCAATGAGATAGCATCTTCAGTGGTACCTAGCAATGCCAGCACTGAAGTTGTTACTTAATTGAGTAACAAAACATCTGAAAGAAAACGATCAAAATCAGAGAGCACCAAGTTCAACCGTGAACAACAAATATTCTCTTCTAATCAGTTTCTCTGCATATATAGACATTAAATGTGCAATATTCTTCTCTAGGCATTCGTAGCTAAATGTTGTTCTTGCATTTCTCCATCTGCATCCCAACTCATCGGATCTGAGCACAATCATAAGAAAAAACAGAATCCCATATCCACTGCAGATATTCTACAAGCAGTATACTCTATCTGAATGTCCAAAATACTTGGATTTGGATGAAGTGCTACAGTAATTCTCTCCTATTCCTTAAAAGTTGCATTAACTTTAATGAGCTGACTCCTTCAAATAGCAGTAACTTCAACTCTAAAATGTCATATTATTTTAATAGAGTGTGTAGAAGTGCTGTGCTGTGCTTGTGTGAGGTCCAAGTCACTTCTTTCCAAATTCTTTGTAAAATGTGTAAAGCCCTAGTATTTTTATAAAGATAAATTCTAAATGTTGGAAGATACCACCAGCATTCCTGAAAACAGCTACTCATTTACCGTATGAGCTTTCAGAGACAAGATATATTTTAAAAAGGAACAAGTGATAGCTATGTATGCATACGGTATAATATTTCTGTAGATGAGTAAAAAAGCTTCCATACAAATAAAGATTATTTCATTTAATTCATTAATATACATAGTGAACATTTCTTGGATGATGATTTCTGTTGATGAGGTTTCTTCACAGAGAAATAAGAGCAGGGACGGTTTATGTGAGTTCTAATCCTGCCTCACAATTCTAAATAATACTTTTAATTAAATAATAATAAAATAACAAAACGTAACATAATATATCCACCCATCTGACATATCATAACCCTGGATGGCTTTCAACGCTAAAGCAATTAAAAAGTATAAAAACCAGCATAAAAACTCCTATCCCCCAAAATAACATATCCCTTCATATCCAACAATTTTCCTAGGCTTCAAGCATATTTCACTTGTAGGGAAAAACCAGGTTTTCATTGCTTTTCAAAAAGCTAAGTGAATAGGGGACTGCCAGACCCCAGGGGAAAGGTGTTTCACAATGAAACTATGTATAATGATATTAAAAAAAACCCCTACTTTATGGACAGAAACCCTTCCTCCATTTTGTCCACAGTTAAAAAAACAAAAGCCAATGTTAAAAACTACAATAAATGGCAAAAACCATCATTTTATATTTTTGGAGCAGTCTTTTTATGGCAACCGCGAGCGTGTGAACCCATGGATAACAAGGACTATTTGTACTTTTACTGTAATAATAAGTAATCAAGCTTATTTTAGATGCCAAGCAAAACACCAGGGTCAATTATTTAGCGATTATGCAAACACTGCAGAAATTAAACTTAAACGTACTTCCATGATACAAGGATCATTATGTGGGTTTATCAGTGGCATATTGACTCATAATAATTTGGGAGATGGAATCATATGAGACTTCCTAGCATGTGGGCGAAGAAGTACATTTTAGATCATGGAGACTATGGCAAAGAATTTATCTTCTGACCATACCAGTTTCACCACATCAGCTCCTGTGGTTAAACTATATTCTAGGGTTATGTGGGAGATTTCAACTATTCTCCTTCTTTCAATCATTCAACAATGACACCAGTGAGAAAGCAACTATTCTGGAGGCCAAGATCCAATTAGTGTAACAAATTCAGAAAGTATAGTTATTAGCAGAAAAGTCAATACAGTTGGCCAACCAAAGTATGCTTAATGTAGTATGTTGTCTAAACTACGGCAGCATTATTCTTTTTTGGAACATTTTTTGCTTGCTGCTGAGACAGAGACAGAGAGAATATGCAAAGTACAGAAAAGGTATCCAGAATATTCAACTGAACAATTAAATAGGAAAAAAGAAATATAGTCAAACCTAGCTCAGATGAGCACCATGTTCAGTATACCTCACCATACTTTTCTACCTTGCAAACTACTCTTGCTTCGATCACATTCATACTCTGCTTCATGTGTTGCCTCTTTGTTCTTTAAACTTTTCACCTTTCTCCTAATAGCAATCTCATCAATTCCTCCAACCATGTTTTTTGGTCTTTCTTATCCTCTCACATCATTTCCTTTTCTCATTATATATTTGCTTTGTGATTCAGCCCTCATTAATTCTCCCTATATGACACACCACCCCAACATATTTTTCCCTACTACTCATCCAATTTAGAATTCAATCCACATTCATCCAGCATTCCTTCATTACCGATCCTCTCTTGTTTTACCACACACTTCAGGAGTACCCCCTGCAATCAACTTAATTCTATGCTTCTTGGCAATCCTATTTGTTGGCCAATTTTGGGGAAGCTAAGCAGGTCCTCATAGGTATATCTGGAGTGATTTCATTGTTAGGCAAAAAACTGAGGAAGCCCCTTGTTAAGGAGATGTTAAGGTCATCAAGTTGATTGAGCATGAAACATTGAGGTTGCTCTAGGTTCCAATTCTCTTGTTAGGGCTGCCCTTGCTTGGGCTGGATTGTGAGAGGGTAAACAAGGTTTCTAGTCTTTAGACGGGACTGCAGGGGAAGTTGTCTGGGGGAAAGTGAGGGAGAATCAATTTACTGGAGAAATGTGACACAATGCATAAGATTCAGCGCAGAAGAGCCTGATACATAGAAAAATCAAAGGTAATAGAAGCAGGCATCTAGAGAATATCACTAATGTCACAAGCTTGAGTTTGCAGGCTTGCAAAGCAGCAATTACTGACCGACTGCAAACAGCAATAGTAATAGCACTTAGACTTATATACCACTTCACAGTGCTTTACAGCCCACTCTAAGCAGTTTATAGAATCAGCCTATTGCCCCCAACAATCTGGGTCCTCATTTTAATGACCTTGGAAGGATGGAAGGCTAAATCAACCTTGGGCCGGTGAGATTCGAACTGCCAAACTGCAGGCAGACAGCAGTCAGCAGAGTAGCCTGCAGTACTGCATTCTAACCACTGTGCCACCACGGATCATGATATCTGTCATGTCATGAAAAAAAGAAGTGATTGAATAACTGAACAACAATTAATACAGTTAAATTGATGACTAGTCAATCAATGTTTGTAATAAAATACACCTCCCTGTAATCTTCCACTACAACCCAACTAGTGGCTAAAAGAGAAGATAGCTTCTAACCACCCTTTATCAAATTGTGCAATTTTCTTAGGTTGCTCACAAAGATAGGAATTACTTGCCCAGGAATATGCTCAGCAATGGGCATAGCTGAAAAAGGATTTGGATAAACATATGCAGAGGAGATGTCTACATCTCTTCAGGTTCAAAGGCAAGGACATACTGCTTCTCTCCTTCCCTTCCCTCCCTTCCAGCATGCCTCTAGTGCTCAATGGAAGAGCTGAAGAAATTAAAATGAATTCAACTGAACATACTTAGGATCTTCCAACTCTGATTAGAAATTCTGCAATGCAGAAATGGAGGCATCACATACAAGGATTCTGGGAGCAGGCTTGGTATGCTAATTCCACTACTTTCTCCCATATATATATAAACTAAAATCCCATTTTATTAACACTACAAACTAGGAACTTTTGAATATTTCTGAAAGTATGACAAGGAGCCATATAAGTCATTCCCTCTTCCCGTTCCAGATTTTTGTTATTTTTGTTAAGGACAAAAAAGAGTCTTAGAAAAGTCTTTTGTAATTTCTGTATATGTTTTACGGCTCAAACCTTATCATAAGTAATATGATGTCTGAAGTCAAGAGATATTGATGTCTGAGGTGGAATTCCAAAATACTCTGAGGAAGCCTTCCCTGACTTTGGTATTTTCCAAGTATATTGATTTAAACTACCAGAATTTTTAGCAATGATTATGCAGACAGAGGAGTTCTGGAAGTTAAAGCCTAAACATCTGAAGAGTGATTGAGATTTGGAAAGCTTGCCCTAAAACCAAAGGTTATTGAAGGTGATCCATCTGGCTAGGCTAATGCTGACTAAGAATTCTGGAAATTATAGCCTAATTTCCTTCTGGAAATTATAGACTATGGAGGATATCAAAGTGGGCAAGATGGTAAAGAAAAGAAAGTCTGACTTTTTTTCTATATTTCTTCTAAAACATTTTTTTACTAAAATTTGCAAGAATGGGTGCGGAGAAAGACAATGAATTCTAACAGCTTTTACATCGTATTAATTTTAGAAGAAAAAAATCCCTGTGCTTGTGTATGCTGCACACAGACACAGAAGCATATGGAATGTTATAAATAATGTAATTTGTAACCCTATGGTAACCTTTCACTTGATTTTTTTTTATTTAGGGCATAGAAAAGAGAGAGAGGAAAGGGGCACAGAGAATTTGGAGGGGGCTGAGGAAAGAAATCCTAAAGCGTCTGTTAGTATCTGAGATGCCTGCATGGTTTGGGACTAAGGTACCCGGGGAATCACCTTTTCACAAAGGTCTCTACCCATCCAACTTGACAGATTGGGCATATTGCAGATCCCATCAGCCAGAGTGTTGGCAGGTGGGAATGAGAAGACACGGTTTTTGGCAGCGACCCCTGCTCTATGGAACATCCTTTGGAGATTAGAATGGTCCCAATCCACTTGTAAAGCTTTAAAAACCTGGCTATGTTCCCACGCCTGGATTGCTGAATGTGCTCAGGGCCCCATTTCCTGGTTGTATAGCTAACTGGTCAAATATCTTGGCTGCTATGTATATTTAACCTGGATGTTTCTAGTGTTTTTACTGTTTAAAATGTTTCTGGTATTTTAATTGTAATCTATTTTTTGAACTGTAAGCTGCCCAGAGTCTTTGACTGAGATGAATGGCTGAAGAAATTGATTGATTGATTGAATGAATAAATAAATAAATATTTGAAGTGTAGGGTCTCTACATAAATAGGCCTTCATGAGTTGCCTTTATAAGAGATGGGGAGGGGGGGAAATTGGAGGAAACAAGGGAAGTTTTAAAAGTGCATCTTCAGCATATGGTTTCTTTCTCCTAAAATTAACTCTCAGCATTCTATATACTGACCTCTTAAAAGCAGTAAATGGTTTCTTAATATGTTAGGTCAAATATTCATTGAATTCTCTTCCACAGCTAAAGGGAAGTCTGCTTTTGTCAGAAAGAAAGATTCCATTTACACAAAATGTTAAGGAAATCCCACAATGTCGACAGGATGAAACTCAAGGGGATTTCCCCCCCCATCTTCCCAACAAGATAGAAAGGAATGTTATGTGACTGCTTCTAAAGTATTGAAAAGTCTGGTTGCCTTCTTGCTGTAAAACACACCCTACATTAAGAGAAGGGATGCATTACGTCTCAGGATCTATGAAAGATGTCGCAGACCCTTGACTGAGGAAGTTTACACTGCCCTCACAGCTGATCCCCTGTTCCCTCTAGACAGATTTCCTGCCACTCAGGACAGGAATAAAACAGCATGCTCTGAACCGTCATGCTGCCTTGCAAAGCAGTCCTCACCAGAAAGATAACAGAGACCCGCAGAGAGAGGAGTGTTTTTAGTTGCACATGCCTCCTGAGCTGTCTGAGGAGCACTTCTGAAGACGAGAACAGTGGACTGCTGGTGTATCTACAGTATCTCTGTAATCTATACCTCTGCGTGAAGAAAAAATGAAAACTACAACACCTGAAAATGAAGCACAGATCAAGCAGCAGCTGAGAAAAAATATCTGCCTGTGACAGTTTGCCTTCAGCCACGCTCAGGGGACGCAGGAAGAAAATCCTTCATCTGTCTTTGCACATGTCACCGGGGTGCTGATTGACTGTTCAAAGAGAATCTCAGGATCCATCTGAATCTTTGACAAAGTTCAGCTGGCTGATTTTTTTTTTTTTTTACCAAGGAGAAGATGAAAGTGCCTCTTTGTTTTCTCTTGAGCTGCAATCTTGCTCTAATAGCAGGCTACAATTCCTTTCGGAGAAGCCTCGAGACTCTAGGCAAGAAGCAATACCAAGTCCAGCATGGATTGTGCAGCTATACTTTCCTTCTGCCTGAGATGGACAATTGCCGGTCTTCCTCGACTACCTCGTATGTCTCTAATGCTGTGCAAAGAGATGCCCCGCTAGAGTATGATGATTCCATACAGAGGCTTCAGCTGCTGGAAAATATGCTGGAAAACAACACTCAGTGGCTAATGAAGGTAACAAAGAGTATCTTTACCTTTGCCCTGTATAGAAGCTCATGTTGAATAGCACTAATGTGTTTTTCTTTTGAGTAGGTTATATTTCAGGGCAAAGTATTCGGATATTCTTAGTGAGCAACTTTGCCAACAGTTAATAACATTGCATGTTGTCACAGATATAAGAAAAAAGAATGCAGAGTGAGGAAGCTTATTTCCTGCTCAGAGTCATTCATCGAATAATATATTTCAAAATGTTATATTTTGCTTTTGGAAAAAAGCTCTGATATGAGCCGTGCTGCACATGTGGGTGTCTGCATACCTCCATGCTCCTGAGTTATATCTGGCATCGCATTTTCAGATATTAAAATTCCATCAGAATTTAGTCTCAGTTAAATTAGATTTGGATTATATGCAGGTTACAAATGGAAAACCTATTAAAAGCTATCTCATGCAGGGAAAAATCAGCAAGCAATTCCCACTCTGTAAACGATGAGAACTGAAAGCACAGTACTTCTACCTGTGCACCAGTTGTAAGGAAGGAAAAGCAACTGGGTATATATGGCTAAAAAGCAAGACATGTAACTTCCCTATCTGAGTTTCCAAAGCATTTGGGTCATAATCCCAAAAATATGAATATCATTGACCATGTTGTGGAATAACAAATCTATGAACTACATAATCTGACAGCAACGTTTTAATTATTGTCTATGATTGACAAGTAACTTAAGTCTAGAGCAAAAGAAGGCACATTTTCAAGGGATGAACATTGGACTATATCCTTCTTGGCAAAATAACATTGCATAGTGAGAAATTATGTTTTCTCAGACTATATTTTTATGCCAGTAACTCATCTGGTTTAATGCAGGGAAATGTGAAGTATGCATAATAAAATAAATGTAAGGTTCCTGCACAAAAGAAACCTAAGAATTACATGACTAATACTGAAGATGTCTATGTTATACAGTGAGTTTTACTTCCAGGTAGGCACTGATGTCAACCTAAATAAAAATGTGTGGTCACATGATATCCCATGTGCTTTAATTTTAAAAAAAAAAGTCAGATTTTTTCCAAAACTAGACCCCAGTTAGGTAGGTGACACTCATTCCACAGAAAGTTTAATAAGAATGCTAATTTGATGTTTTATTACAGTATGTTTCTTTATATGTTATATAGAAATCTGTAGCCACACCATAAAATACTGTAAAAGTATCGCACATCATTTAATTTAATGTCTACTCTAACGGTGTTTGTTTGAACTGTTCTTGCACTGTGAATGGCAATTGATAGCAGCTATAGTCAACAGCATACAGGAACTGGATTCTTCATGTCAAATCAGCTGACTACTGTGTGATTTGAAACTATAACTGAATGGCAACACTGATATTTAATGTTGTGTAGTAATTAAGCATTAAAGTGTTGTGGGGTATTTATTTAATAGTCTCATTCTATATATGTTTACTCAGGAGGAATCCCATTGAAATGAATGAGATATATTCCTAACCAACTGAGCATTTTGATTCTACCATAAACTGTAGGCATTCAATAGAAATGGCAGAGATCAGCATTGTTCGTTTAAGAAAGCTGGTTAATTTACATTATTTTTATGCTTCATTTTTAAATGCTAATGTTAATTTCAAAAAAATATGTGGTCTAACAACATAAATCTTAAAAAAAAACAACCCAAGGAAATTCTGGGTTACATTCAACATTCTCACAGTGCATTTGTCAGTTGAACAAAAAAACTGGATTAAAACTATTTGGATTTAGCTTCCATTATCTTTACTTTTTGCTTGTAAATCTCTCTGAAATTATTTATGGCCAGTAAACTTAGCAAAGCCATGAGAACTACAGTCCTACATTTGGAGAGCCACCTTTCCATTTCTGACCTTCGGTTCTCACATTTTTTTTATCTTATAATTTGTTTAACTTAGCCTTTTGCAACCTTCTGATCTCTAGTACATACATTTAAAATCAACACTTCTATTCTGGAAAATCTGATTAATGTAGATTTGTTCTTGCTTTTATAAATATTAGTTCTGTGTTGGGAGAACAAGCACTTTTTACTACTGTCTACATTGAATTCTCTCTAACATCAATTATCTATAATAGTTTTGCTCCTAATGTTGCCTGCATCATCAAGCAGTATTGCATTTCCCATCTTGAATCAATCATCAAAAGGAAGTGTTATGTTTCTGAATGGACAGTGAACTGTCTGAATGGAAGAGACTGAATTCACTATGCTTGCATTACAATAGAAAGCTGAACAATGTCAAAGCTACATCCTGGATACTAACAGAAAATTAACATTTCACAAGTTCCTGGAAAACTACAATTGGGCACTCATGTTCTTACAGTTAAAATGAGATTACTATTATTAGTATAAATGTGTGTAACCTCTTGCCAAAAAGTACTAATATTTCTGATACCTTATTAAAACTGAAAACTAGCTCACAATATACAGCAATATATTTCAACAAATTCAGCAAATCTCATTTTGGGAGAAAGATAAAATATATGGGGCTTCTAATCCTCTGTACCATACTGTTTCTTTTTAAGCACAAATCCTGAAATTTCCAATTAGCCTTACCAATTTTGCCAAAGAATATTAATTAACATTTTATATTTAATTGTATCTAGGTTAAAATTTAATTTTAAAATTAAAATTAAATGGTATACTGTATTTACTTGTTTCCCAATCCTAACCCTAATTAAATCATCAGTTTTATTTAAAGAGGAGGGGTAGTCACTCAAAATTCATTGTTCATTTTAGGGGCCGTGGTACTGCAAAGTTTGAGAATCTCTGGTGTAGGCTAAATAACAACAACTGATTAATGAATTTCTAAAACAGTTAACCAGATAATATAATTCCATTTCTGAACTCAGTTGCAAGCTATATTGTTGTTGTCAGTCACAAAGTTGTGTCCGACCCATCGCGACCCCATGGACAATGTTCCTCTAGGCCTTCCTGTCCTCTACCATCCTCCCCTCTGGGGAAGCTATATTAGGTACTAGAAATAGAAAGCTAAGGAATCTTTTATATTTAATAAATATTCTATCACACTGCAAGCAGGTACCAGATCCAATTTTGCAGAAACAGTTTAACCTATTAGATAGGAGAGTAAATAGCTCCAATGACTTTGTAGCAAAAGTGTTCCATGGTAGGATTTTGAGGTCATCAATGGAAATAGTTATACTTCCAAGAATCATGAAAAAAACCAAGATTATGCCCAGGCATAAGAGCCTGCCTGCCTGCTGATGATGCAGAAGCAATGAACCTGCATAAGAACCATTTTATATTTTATTCTTCTATAGTTACAGGGAGGCAGAACAACATTTGAAGATCTCTCACATAGATGAAATCTACAGAGTCTATTCTGTACCTATCTTGATTGAACTGGCTAGCATTTTATTTATTGAATAAATGGTTTAATTGGTTAACTGCATATGTTAGTCAGATATTTAACCCACTCATTAGTCTGAAATAGTAGCGAAGTATATGGAAACTTTTCATACCGTTTATTTCCACTGCTGATTTCACACATGCTAACTTGCCTTATCTCTGATGTCTGTATAATCAGTGAACCAGCCACTTAATCATGCAGGGTTCTGGATCATCCACAGGTTTTCACACAGGTACTTCAAATACCTAGCTAGTTTTCTGCACTGCAAATGTCTATGCTGAATGTATGAATATTGGTAGATAGGACTAGCAGCAGGTATGATATCTGTTTAGCTAGCATTTAAGCATAGATTCAGCTCAGCCTCAGAACATTTATGTTAGAGAATTCACAGAATTCTGCTGAGTTGTAGTAGATTCTAGTTGTTTTTAAAGTTCACTTTATCACCATAATAAACACAGTCGCCCTGGCAGTAATCCTAGCAACTTGTGAGCTATACCAGTTTTTATTCATGATTATTCTGCCAATTGCACTAAAGTATTTGCAAGAATGTTCTAAAGATCTTTCTCACAGAGAAACAACATCTAAGGAAATGCATGCGATGGAGACCGCGAGACCTGCTTTAACTTTAACTCATAGTTTGTATATGAAGAATAACAGGCATGTTGCATTTAATTTGATTACCAACATTAGCATTCTGGGTAATCAACAGGCTGAACAACTGCTAGCTTGTTGCCTCAGTCATATTGTTGGGATGAAACTGTATGGAGCCGTACATGCAATATTCTTGCTAGGGTTAATTGGCAATATTGCCTAGATGTCTGTCAATAGTTTCATAGCATACATTTTCTTTTCTTGTGGACTCCCGAATCCTAAAATATTGTACTGATTTAGAAGTGTTTTCAGTTAAATGGTAGTTGGATTTACTGCAAAGTGGCCTTTGGGTCACTAGACAATGAACCTGCCAGGACAGAAGGTAGGGCCAAAGTAGAATTTCCTTCCTGTCCTTTAGGTAACCTCCCCTTCAGCTGCAAGATTTGTGTGTTATTTTCACTGTTACTGCTTAGAAAATACATAATACAACTAAAACAACTTATCCAACTTATTTGGACATATCTAAATGAAGGCCACAGTATCATCGAAGAGAATAGAAAGTCTGGTGTTTTGTGCTTGGTGCATTTCCTTCCAATATCCTTGGAAGTTCTATTCGGTCATCTGATACAACTTTGACATGGTTGGATATTTAGAGATGAGAATTAAATTGAATTATGTTGGCTGCTATTTAAAAGGCAGATGGGGTTTGTTGACAAATTTGCAGGTGTCTGCCTTGCTGACTTCATTCAAAAACCAGAGGTCAATATTATGATGACAAGGATGAATTAATTCCTCACCTACTGATCCTTGCATGTCATTTTGACTGATGTCAGAACTGGAGGAAATGCATTTGCCTGTGCTGTGTGTCTACAAACAAGTTAATCACTGGTGTTCTTTACTTCTCTGCAATCTGCAGGAATACATCTGGATATAGTTTCCACTGTCCCCAAAACAAATTCTGTTGGCTTACTAGTTGACTATGATACTTGTGGATCCCTTTATGTATCCTGCAACTATTGTTGGGAG